AAAGAAGGACAATGATATGTTGCATGATCCAGAGTAGGCAAACCAGACACTCTCCACATCAACACTGACAAAGAAACAGCAAGAAATACTGTTTATCCATCAGCATCAAGACATTACATATATTAGAAACCAACACTTTCTCATTCCTTTATTTTCCAGATCACCAGACTGGGCCACAGCAATGCGTGGCAGGGGACCGCTAGTTCTCAATAAACTACAAAACTACAGCCTTGGTGTGTACTGGTGTCTTGAGCAAGGGGACAACTACCCTGAGTTGCGACAGCTGCTGCTAATACGTAATTCTGCTGTACATTTATGAGGAGGGTCTTTTGTTAATAAGCTCACTCGCCCAACATGTCCTTACCCAAAAGATGTCGTAGACGAAAAGGCCACCAAGAAGGATGCAACCGGTGCTGACGTTGTTCAAGTGGAGAAGCTCCACGCCGTTAAGAGAGAAGGCCAGGCCAAAGAGGTTGTTGGCAATCCAATGCTGGGAGAGGGGAAAGAAGGACAGCAGAGCTCAGCATCCCCAACGGGCCGGCCTTTACAACCCCTCCAAGTCCTACAGGCGAGTGACAAGGAAAGCTCTGCAGGCTCCTTTCTTTGTGTTTGACGCTTGGCATACCTTCCGCAGCAGGTACCAGACGCCCACCACACTGCTCATGGCCAGGCAGACCAGGTCCTTGGTGTCGAACTCGTAGTTCACAATCTCTGCAACAAAAGCCACCACGCCGTTGTCATCGTTAACAGCTTCTTTAACACAAAGCGAGAGTTAAGAGGGGCAAAAAGACAGTCAGCCTGGCAGCTTTGCCAAGAGACCACAAGAACAAAGATATTGATCGAGACAGGGTGGCAGGGAACAACCTGCCGACCTCCAGATTTTTAAAATTTCTATCCCCTCCCACCATATTGAAAGATCTCAGAAGAGGCTTGCCTTTGCCTTCCTCTGAGGCAGAGAACAGTGTGATTTCTGCAAGGTCCCCCCATTGGGTTTCTGCACCAAGCAGGGTAAAGTCCTAGGCAAATACTCAATCCACTACAGTGCTGGCTCTCCAACACAACTTGACTCATACTATACAATCTAACAAATTAAAATAGCTTCAAGAGCTATGCATATATTTGGATAATAATAGCTTTAATAAACATATCTTTAATAAACAGCTATGTGTTGCACTATAACCACTAGAACAGATATGGGTAATCTCAGGCCCGGGGGCTGGATGCGGCCCCTTGCGCTCTTTTCTCAGGCCCCCCTATCTCTCACCATCCTATCRTTTCTTCCCTTCCTTACCTCCCTCTTTCTACTTCCAACCTTCCTTCCCTTCCACCCTTTAGGTCTTCCCTCTTCCTTCCCTCTTTCGTCCCCCCTTCCCCCTCCCTCTTTCTTTCCCTTTCTCTTTTCCTTCCTTWRTTCCCTTTCCTCCCTCCTCTCGCTCCCTCTTTCTCCTTCTTTCCTTCCCTTRTGTCTTTCTTTCCTTCCTTCCCTTTCTCCTCCCTTCCCTCCCCCCTCCCTCTATTCCCTTCAACTCTTTTGTTCTTCCTTTCTTCTCTTTATTTCCTTCCTTCCATCCTTCCCTTCCACTCTTTCATCCATCCTTCCCTCCCTCTTTCTCCTTCCCTTTTGTCTTTCCTTCCTCTTCTTTTTCCTACCTTTCCTCTCTCTCCTCCTCCTTCTAATCCCTTCCACCCTTTCATTCTTCCTTTCTTCTTTCTCTCTCTTTCATCCTTCCCTTCCACTCTTTCATCCTTCCTTCCTCCCTCTTTCTCTTTTGTCTTTCCTTCCTTCTCTTTTTCCTCTCTTCCCTCCCTCTATTCCCTTCCACCTTTTCGTTCTTCTTTTTTTCTCTTTCTTTCCTTCCATCCTTCCCTTACACTCTTTCATCCTTCCCTCCCTCCCTCTCTTTTGTCTTTCCTTCTCTTTTTCCTCCCTTCCCCCCATCTAAGTTTGAAAGCTAAGCAGTGCCAGCCCTGGCTAGTACTTGGATGGGACATATTTGGATGGGAGATATTTGATAGTGCTAAATATCCTAAAGTACTGGATTCCATCTAATTTTGAAAGTTAGAGTACTGGATCCCATTTAATTTTGAAAGCTAAGCAGTGCCAGCCCTGGCTGGTACTTGGATGGGAGACCACCAGGTATTGGGAGACCACCAGGCAGGCTCTATTTCAGAGGAAGGCAATGGCAAAACATCTCTGAGGATTCCTGGCCTAAGAAAACACTACAGAATTTATGGAGTTGCCATGACACAACAGGTGACTTGAAGACATGCACACACATGCACACAGACGTTTCTTTTACAACGATATTCTAAATGTGCTTTGCTGCCTTACATTGTGCAAGGCCACTGGTCAACCTGACCCAGCACTTTCCGCTCTGACTAATCGCTTCTTCCCAAGGCCTGAGGCAGAGAAACATCCTTCTCAGGCCCAGCCTCAATGCTCTATTAAAAAGGGAATGACGGAAACCAACCTTGGGGCTGATTACCACGCAAAACGTGGACATGACTCAACGGCTCTTACCATCAGGAAGCTCTTCCTACTGTTTAGGCAGAATCTCTTTCCCTGCCATCTGAATCCATGGCTCCATTGTGTCCTAGTCTCTGGAGCAGCAGAACAGAAGCTTGTCTCCCCCTCAATTTGACATGCTTTCAAATAAACATAGTGCTCATGTCCCTCTCAACCTTCTTTTCTCCAAGCTAAACATACCCAGCTCCCTTACAATCTTAGAGCATTATGAGCAATCTCCCTACAATCTTAGAGCAATCTCCCTACAATCAAAGAGCATTATGAACTCCACCAACGATGGAATGGAACCAAATTTGACACACAGAATTCCAATGACCAACAGAAAATACTGGAAGGGTCTGGTGGGCATTGACTTTTGGAGTTATAAGGCTGTGGGAAGCATTCGTATCCTGTCCTGAGTCGCCCTTCAAAAACAGCCTTTAGAAGTTTAGACAATGTTGAAAGTAAAAGAAAAAAATGCTTCACTTCAGCAAACACAAAGGATAAGCAAATGCAATTGAAATGCGCAAAGGAAAGCAAGGAATTCTTAATCCAGACACAAATTAAAGTCTCTTACAAAGTCTCAAAAGAAACACCAGTCTTCCATCAGACCACGGATGATGAACTAAGTTCTTAGCAGCAGACACAAAGCAGATTCCATTAGACTGAAAACATTAGTATCAGGGTTGTTGTTACCAGCGAAAGCTGACTGCTCCTGCCTCTGATTTATGGCCCTGAATTCCCCACGCAGGAGGTGCTAGGGCGTCTCTCAATTAGCTTAGCGTTTTAGCAGCTATCCTAATTGAACGCAGTCTGTGCTCTGCCTCTTTAGAAATGTGGGCACTTTCAAACCCTCATTGTGCTGGTACAGCTGTACCAGGAGCTCCTATTTTGTTTGCTTTGCAGTTAATGTTTGTTTGCAATCCCAGGCTTGGGATTTTGCAGCAGGGTGGCTTCCTGTTATAGGCTGCGATCATAGGGCAAGCCACCTGCCAATTATAGTTAGGATCCCTGGTCCCGCCCCCGTTTTGCCTTTGGAGGGAAGGGGCCATTTTTCAGTTAGTTACAGCAAGGGAAGCCAAGGCAGAGGATGCGTACAGACGTTCCTCCTGTGCAAAAGCTTCATCTTTTAAGAGTTCCTGGGGAAGAACAGATTAAAGGCCTCTACGGATTCCCAAAGGGTTCCAGGGAACAGCTTCACAGCCCTGAGGACCTCCAGAGGGAATAACAGCTCTTCATCTTCAGCTAAGTGATTTCAAGCCTGATGGTACATCTGTTCGGTTCTGAGACGCAGTTCAGCCGGTAGCAGGCTCAAACTAGTTAGGTTTAAGTTCACAGCAGCCTGGGAGGAGCTTTAAAGGGGAATTTTTCTGTTAAACAAAGTTTCTTGAAGATAGTGCCTGTTTCTTGTAAACAAGACTGCAAGACCCAATAGACTATTTAGAAATCTTACAATTCCTGATTGTTCGATAATAAAGACTGTTGTATTTAAGTTCAAGTCTCCTAAATCCTGTTTAGTAGGGGAAGTTCCTCTAAAGGCTCCTTCTTGGGCCCCCGGGTTTCCCGCTGGACGCAAGCCTTGCATCCTATCTTAGAAGCATTTAATTTTAGCTCTAGCGGCGACAGAACACTCATCGTCTGATTCTTCTTCTCCCTCCAATTCCTGAGCACTTTCCTGCTCCCCTTCCTCCTCCGAAGATGAGGAATCCCTAACACATCCCTCCTGTATCTAGTACAGCTTTGTAACCACACCTTGCTGCCACTGACATTAGAAGAAAAAGCAGCGAGAGATGCTAGCAACTGAATGGGAAGGCAGACATTGACTCAGTGGCACTTGCCAACATTTCAGTATCTCAGTGAAAAGGTTGTCAGACTCCTGGGGAAAGGAAGGGTAGGAAGGCAACATGCAGGGAGAATGCAAATGCACAGAGAACATGCTCCGAAACCAGGTGGGTAGGCAGACTTACCTTCCTTTGTTTCCCCAGAGCCCTGAGTGAAGAGGAGCTGGTACTGTTTGTTGGGGAAATTGGCAGGGAAGAATTTGTTCATCACGGGGCTGAAATGAGAGCACAGGGAAGGGGAAGGCGAGAGAGAAGGGAACAAACTCACTCTTTAGGAACTCAAAACAGAAGCAGAGCTGGAGAGGAGCACTGTGCACATGTTTAGATGGCATCCAGCAAGTGCTCTGCCACTTGAGCTGAATGGCTGACAAGGCAAACTTGCAACAGGCATGTGTCTAATGCACACACATCTAGTAGAAGATGGACAATGGGTTGAGCAGCTTGGTGAACAGCTGCTTGGCACAGGAAAGAAAGAGTGCTGGGATCCAGATGTTGGCTTCTCCTTTCCCTTTTGGGGGCTTAACGAAAGGGATGAGTGGACCAAAGGGGGCTGGGAACATATGTGGGATTATTTCCTTCTTTTTTTAACTTTCAGGGGAAGGAGCAAGCCAAGAGCCTTAGGTCAGCCCTCAGAAATGTCATCCTCCACTGAAACATAAGATAAATACACATTTCAGTGGTGCTTCTTCTAAATGCAATTCCCTGCACTGTCTCCTTCGCTCTCAATAATCATATAGGTAAAGGTAAAGGTTGTCCCCTGACATTAAGTCCAGTCATGTCTGACTCGGGGATGTGGTGCTCATCTCCTTTTCTAAGTCGAAGAGCCGGCGTTGTCCATAGACACCTCCAAGGTCATGTGGCCGGCATGACTGCATGGAGCGCCGTTACCTTCCCGCAGAAGCGGTACCTATTGATCTACTCACATTTGCATGTTTTCGAACTGCTAGGTTGGCAGAAGCTAGGGCTGAAAGCTGAAGCTCACGCCAGTCCCTGGAATTGAACCTACGACCTTTTGGTCATCAAGTTCAGCAGCTCAGTACTTTAACCCACTGCGCCACCTATAATCATATATCGCCAAGTTTAATATGTTGGATTGGGCAAAACGTCAGGAGAGAATGCTTCTGGAACATGGCCAGACAGCCCGGAAAACTCACAACAACCCAGTGATTCTGGTCATGAAAGACTTTGACAAAATGTGAAACACAATTTCTAAGGGCTCATCTTGGTATGCAAGATGTACCTTGTACGTAGAAATGGTGGAAGCTGAGTCGAACAGAAATGGATAATTATGACACTTATCATTGGTTTTTGGTTTCGTTTTCTAATTGCTTCCAAAAGGGCCCCCCTGATGGTGCAGTGGGTTAAACCACTGAGCTGCTGAACTTGCTGACCGAAAGGTCACCAGTTCGAATTTGGGGAGTAGGGTGAGTTCCTGCTGTTAGCCCCAGCTTCTGCCAAACTAGCAGATTGAAAACTTGCAAATGTGAAAACTTGCATCGGAATTGAGGCGCAGCTGGCTGAGTGTCAGCTGCAGTAAGATCACTCTGACCAAAAGGTCATGAGTTCGAAGCCAGCCCGGGTTGGAGTGGGTTTCCAACCAATTGTGTAGCCTGTTGTCGACCTTTGCAACCCGAAAGACAGTTGCATCTGTCAAGTAGGAAAATTAGGTACCACCTTAAAAGTGTGGGGAGGCTAAATTAACTAATTTATGAGGCCATAAAAAAAGACTCCAGCAAAAGCATGCGGGGAATGCGGAAGTACTTCATCAGTGTCGCAGATGGACGATGAAAGCGACAGCTCCCCTGGCGGCCAGAAAAAAGTTAATAGCCTCTGTATGTCTGTATATGTTTGTATGTCAAAATTGGCATTGAATGTTTGCCATATATGTGTACACTGTAATCCGCCCTGAGTCCCCTGCGGGGTGAGAAGGGCGGAATATAAAAGCTGTAAATAAATAAATAATAAACTAAAAGGTTTCAATAGGTACCGCTTCTGCGGAAAGGTAACGGCTCTCCGTGCAGTTATGCAGGCCAAATGACCTTGGAGGTGTTTACGGACAATGCCGGCTCTTTGGCTTAGAAATTGAGATGAGCCCCACCCCACAGAGTTGGACAGTCAAGGGGAAACCTTTGCTTTTACTTACCAAAAGCTAGTTTTTTTGTACTGATCAAGTGGAACCCATCGGTATTGAGAAAAGAGAGAAATAATTCTAAGAGGAAGAAAAAGCTAAAAAGAGGAGCACAGAAATGTACTGGTTGGAACCAAGTCACCTAAGAGTCACATAAGCAGCAAACCCTGATCCTCTCTGGCTTTAATAAACTTTTCAGCAAAAATGCTGAAAAGCCTCGGACTGTTTCTAATACAATTCCAAGAATTGAGAAGGGAGAAGGGCAGGCATGCAGTCAGAAGGACAAAGACAGAACGTTGCAATTTATTTTATATTATTTTATTACCTTATGGTGTGGGAAAGAGCAAGGATTCCCAGGACAAAGAAATACATGGAGAGGAGGAGGTTGATATATTCTTGAGAGAAAATCTGTAAGAAAAGAGGAACCACTTTGGTTAAACACCCAGCTTCCAAGATCAAGAGAAATATGCACTTCTCACTTCAAGGCTTATCGTTGAATCACCCATATTCCAAAGTTTGTTTCTGATTCCAAGGAACCTCCCAAGTTTCCAGCTGAAGAAAGGCATTCATAAGAGAGCCAGCTAAAAATGGACCCAGCTCCTAGGAAGCTCAGAGTACATGAGCTGGTTCACTGCACACAAACATGTTTCATGCAAAACATTATTACAGGCGTTCTAAAAAATTACCATCAGTCTATGTGTATAAGGGATATATGAAACAAAAATAAATTTTGTGTTTAGACTTGAGTCCCATCTCCCAGATTTCACATTATGTACATTTATTTATTTACTAGACGTCCCCTGCCACGCGTTGCTGTGGCCCAGTCTGTGTGTATGTGTTTTGTGTGTCTATATGTGTGTCTATATATTTGTGTATATATGTGTGTTTGCATATATGTTTATTTATTTATTTAGACATTTCTACCCCGCCCTTCTCACCCCCGAGGGGGGACTCAGGGCGGCTAACACAGGCAACAATTCAATGCCAACAGTGTCAAAACAATATAAAACAGCAATATAAAATCCATTACATAACAATTAAACAGTGATATTGATTAAAATTACATAACCACATAGAACAGATCACATAATGTGTGTGGTTTTGCGCATGCATTGTTCAGTCCCCACGAACTTCTCCCCCACAAATGTACCTTTTTCATTGCTATCTCATCCAGAGTTTTACCATTTTATTTTGTGCATTTGGCCCAGCCACTGTGTTTGATTTTCCATCATGTTATTTCGTAACGTTTATTTCCTTGATTGGTTTATTTATTTTAACTGTGATGTTATTTTGTTGTTTATATTTTATGTTGCTGTAATGTGTCATTGGGCTTTGGCGAGTCCCCTTTGGAGAGATGGTGGCGGGGTATAAATAATTTTTTTAATTATTATTATTATTAATGTAATCTTTGTTTTTTCTTTTTAAGTCCCTTCCGCTGTGTTTTTCAGTGTTTTTATGAGTGATGGTCACTCGTTGGCCTGATAAGTGTCTGGTATCCAAATTTGGTGTCAATTCGTCCAGTGGTTTTTGAGTTATGTTAATCCCATAAACGAACATTACATTTTTATTTATATAGATTTACTACATTTATATACCACTTTTCTCCTCCTAAGGGAACTCAAAGCGGTTTCCAACATAATAAAGGCGAAATTCAATGCCGTACATACATATGAAAACCAAAACATAATAGCTAGACAACAACATATAACTATAAATTAAAAACCTAACCATATCAAAACATAAAATAACATTTGGGCACAAAACATTAAAAAATTACATATCGGTATTACAATAACAACATTTATATTAAAACCCACCCGTAAACAACACAATTTAAAAATGGTTATTAAAATCATGCTCATTTAGTGCTTGAGACCACAGCTGTCATATCAGCAGTAGTACAATGCCATATTACATCAGAGACTCAACCTTTACTTTCAACATATTATTATTTACAAACAATGCAATCACAATGTAAAAGGGAGCCAGGAAAAACTGGATAGTGAATGGAAAAAAGACAGAGGAAAAAGAGATTAAAATGAGACCCTCAAAATACTTTTACATAAATGTTTGCAACCCTCTGTATATTTATTGGAAGCATCCTGCATCGAAAACTAAATTAATTTCTAGATAAAAATGCACAAGACGGAGCGACAAGTTCTTGAAAAACCTTCCATTAGGTTCCTTTGCACGCATGACTGCCAATCAGTTCTCAAGAAGTCAACCAAAAGTTAAGTTGTCTCGTTTCTTCTAGAAAAGCAGCGTACATGGAGACCACGTATTTCCTAGAAAATACATGCTAGCAAGAAGTGGCTTGCCCTTTATACCAAGCACAAAGAGACCAATTATTAAGGCTCATCACAGGCAGGCTTCACGTACTACGTTTCCAAACTCCAGTTGCTCTTGGAACATCTACCTGGAGTTATCGGAAACTGTAGGGAGGGAAACAGGATGTTGAGGAAATGAGGAGGAATTATTTGCAGAAGTGGCTGTTGCAAACCCAACGGTTGCATCACACACTGATCCCCTACTTCAAACCTATGGGGCATGCAAGGAATCAGTGAGTATGTGTGTGTGTGTTTTTGTCATGTCAGGAGCGACCTGAGAAACTGCAAGTCGCTTCTGGTGTGAGAGAATTGGCCGTCTGCAAGGACGTTGCCCAGGGGACGCCCGGATGATTTGATGTTTTATCATCCTTGTGGGAGGCTTCTCTCATATCCCCGCATGAGGAGCTGGAGCTGATAGAGGGAGCTCATCCGCCTCTCCCCGGATTCGAACCTGCGACCTGTCAGTCTTCAGTCTTGCCAGTTCAGGGGTTTAACCCACTGCGCCACCGGGGGCTCCAGTGTGTGTGTGTGTCAGCTGTAAAATAAGATGCATGAAGCTAATTGGTTGGGCAATGCCCGGGGAGCAGGCTGAGCCTGGGACTTTTGGTTACTGTTACATTTTTGTTCAGGCTTGAGCTATGCAGAAGCAGAGAGAGAGAGAGATAGTTTGCTTCATGAGCTGCTGAAGGCGTTTATCCACATGGACAAAGAAAGACCATTTAAAATCCATCTAAAAGGACATTATGTGAATCGATGTAACCCATCACATGATTGTACATATGTAGCTCTCAATTATGAAGAGTAAAACTACTTGTTCTTTACTGTTCATCTATGTGGTGTATTTTCTTTATCGGGCAAGGCAGTGTGTGGGCTGATCAAACGTGAACTACATGTGGTTTATTTTACATTACGCCACAAAATCCACCTAGAGAGCTGCATAAAAGACAGATCCAAAACATATCCAAATCTGCTTTGTATACTCTTGTAGCCTAGACTTTTCTAATAATTTTCTATTGCAAACTCTAATGTCAAGGCCCTTAAGAGTGAAGGGAGAGGGGGCTACAGTTGAAGACAGTACCATCTTGTCTCTTGTGCTTTACTAATAATATAATATAATATGTATAATATTATAATGTAATACAATATACTACTACTACTAATAATAATACAATATTATAATTATATATTTTATATTACATGTAATATTACTAATAGTATTACAATATAATGGTGTAGTACAATATAGCAATATATAATATATAATTATATATAATTATTAGCATAGTACAATATCAGTATTATATATATAATACTGATACTGTACTATGCTAATAACTTAATATATTGTATGTATATATATCTTGTAAGCCACTCTGTTAGAAGGGCAGCATATAAATGTTGCAAATAAATAAATAAAACAGGGATGAGAATCCTATGGCTTTTCAGATGCTAAGCAGCAACTCCCAGCACTCTTCATAGAATCAAAGAGTTGGAAGAGACCTCATGGGCCATCCAGTCCAACCCCATTCTGCCAAGAAGCCGGAATATTGCATTCAAATCACCCCTGACAGATGGCCATCCAGCCTCTGTTTAAAAGCTTCCAAAGAAGGAGCCTCCACCACACTCTGGGGCAGAGAGTTCCACTGCTGAACGGCTCTCACAGTCAGGAAGTTCTTCCTCATGTTCAGATGGAATCTCCTCTCTTGTAGTTTGAAGCCATTGTTCCGCGTCTAGTCTCCAGGGAAGCAGAAAACAAGCATGCTCCCTCCTCCCTGTGGCTTCCTCTCACATATTTATACATGGCTATCATGTCTCCTCTCAGCCTTCTCTTCTTCAGGCTAAACATGCCCAGCTCCTTAAGTCGCTCCTCATAGGGCTTGTTCTCCAGACCCTTGATCATTTTAGTCGCCCTCCTCTGGACACATTCCAGCATGTCAATATCTCTCTTGAATTGTGGTGCCCAGAATTGGACACAATATTCCAGGTGTGGTCTAACCAAAGCAGAATAGAGGGGTAGCATTACTTCCGATCTAGACACTATGCTCCTATTGATGCAGGCCAAAATCCCATTGGCTTTTTTTGCCGCCACATCACATTGTTGGCTCATGTTTAACTTGTTGTCCACGAGGACTCCAAGATCTTTTTCACACGTACTGCTCTCGAGCCAGGCATCCCCCATTCTATATCTTTGCATTTCGTTTTTCCTGCCAAAGTGGAGTATCTTGCATTTGTCACAGTTAAACTTCATTTTGTTAGTTTTGGCCCATCTCTCCAATCTGTCAAGATCGTTTTGAATCCTGCTCCTGTCCTCTGGATTATTGGCTATCCCTCCCAATTTGGTGTCGTCTGCAAACTTGATGATCCTGCCTTCTAACCCTTCATCTAAGTCATTACTAAAGATGTTGAACAGGACCGGGCCCAGGACGGAACCCTGCGGCACTCCGCTCGTCACTTCTTTTCAGGATGAAGAGGAAGCATTGGTGAGCACCCTCTGGGTTCGTCCATTTAACCAATTACAGATCCACCTCACCACAGTTTTGCCTAGCCCACATTGGACTAGTTTCATCTTTAGCTATGCTAGCCAGGACCGCTAGGATATGCAGTCTAGCAGCTGGAAGGCCGTGTAATTTCAACTTTTACACCAAATGGTTAATTCTGAAGGAATTAATTGACTGTGATAATTACAAAAGAATGGCTCCTTCTCTTAAAAGAGAAACCCATTGTTTCCTGGTTACTTCAACGTAAGTCTCTGATCGCTTCTTCAATTGTTACTTTCAAATAGAGAGGCCTCAAATGTTCTGACCTCAGGGACATCTTATCTAAACATCTAAGACAAAACCTCATCCAGGAAGCAGCCCCATGTGCCAGGTAAAGCCATTTCATTTCCTTTCCTTGCCAAGCCTGCCAGGACAGGCTGTGATCGCCAGGTGCCTAAGGCCAGTATTAACTGGCTAATACGCAGCATGAAATGGTTTAGTCAAACATCTCAGAACCCATTTATGTGTCATATTCAGCCTCACAGATGGACCTGACCAAACTAATCAAGTAGTTTAATGTAGCTGCCATGCACAGCTCGAGATTTAGAGCCCGGAAATGTTATTTTGGGGGAAATTAGTTCTCCAAATGTTCCAGCCAAGGTGCTCCTTGGACTAGACAGACTGGCTGGGGGATTTAAGGAACTGGAGTCCAAAAACTAGAATGTCCAACTTAACCAGATCACTGCTGGCACCTCCAGGATTTCAAGCAGAGCTTCCTGGTACTATGGTTGTTGAGACAGTTTTAACTAGAGGATTTTAACGTCAAGATAATCAGGGGTTCTCAAACTAAGGCCTGGGGGCCGGATACAGCCCTCCAAGGTCATTTACCCGGCCCTCGCTCAGGGTCAACCTAAGTCTGAAATGACTTGAAAGCACACAACAGCAACAACAAAAATCCTATGTCATCAGCCAAAAGCAGGTCCACTCTTCCCATTGAAATGCCAATAAGTTTATATTTGTTAAAACTGTCCTTCATTTCAATTATTGTAATGTGGAGAAGAGCAAACCACTGACCACCTGCTGCAATGCAACCTGAGCCCTGCCACATGCACCATGGAGGACCTTCTTGCAGCAACACCAGAAGCACTCCAAGTGGCCAGATACTGGTCAAAGGACATTTAATCAACTACCAAGCTTGCAAACTTTGTGTTTTGTTTGTTTGTTTGCTAAAAAATGCAATGCAACTGTTTGGTCTGCCCCTGACACAATAAATAAATAAATAAACTATTGTAATGTTTTTTTAGTTTTGTTTTTTTTGCACTACAAATAAAATATGTGCAGTGTGCATAGGAATTCATTCATGCTTTTTTCAAATTATAATCTGGTCCTCCAACAATTTGAGGGACTGTGACCTAGCCCCCTGTTTAAAAAGTTTGAAGACCCCTGAGATAAGTGATTTTAATGGGTTTGTATGTGTATGGTCTAGTATGTTTCGGCATTGAATGTTTGTCGTTTATATGTTGTGCTCCGCCCTGAGTCCCCTTCAGGGTGAGAAGGGTGGAATATCAATGCTATAAATAAATAATAAATATTTATCCTAGTTGTTAATATGAATGGGAAGACATTTCACAGAAATGAGAACCAGAACATTTGGAATAAAAGAGTCCTGGGAATTTGAACCCATTTCTGGAGATCATGACATAACTATCTTCCAGGCCACCACCGGCTTTGGGATTCCCATCATCCCTGGGGAACACCGCTGGACATCTGCTCATGTGGTGTAGGAGATGGAAAAATTAATTATAAGTGCTCTGATCTACTTTGATATTTTACCTAATTTGTTTCCCTGCTGATAAACCTTTGTGTAAACGACTGTGAGCAAAGTTTCCGCCTGCCAAGAATGACAGGGCTTTTCTATACCCCAAAATATCACCACCCCATTCGCACAAAGCCTGCAGAATGGTACAGAAAGAAAATGGGTAATTTCACTTACCTTGAAGAAGAGGTAAAGGCCTAGGAGGGTGCAACTGGCAACAATAGGAAAGCGGGCAGCATCTCTGCTGGTAATCGTCTCTGGCATGTCTGAAGCATTCTAGAGAAAGAATTTGCCATAATTTAGTCCAAGGGTACTCAAACTAAGTCCCGCGGGCCGGATACGGCCCTCCAAGGTCATTTACCCAGCCCTCGCTCAGGGTCAACCTAAGTCTTGAAAGCACACAACAACAACAACAACAATTCTATCTCATCCGCCAAAAGCAGGCCCACACTTCCCACTGAAATGCTGATGTTTATATTTGTTAAAATTGTTCTTCATTTTAATTATTGTATTGTTTTAAAGTGGTTTTTGCACTACAAATAAGGTATGTGCAATGTGCATAGGAATTCATTCATGTTTTTTTTCCTTCAAATTATAATCTGGCCCTCCAACAGTTTGAGGGACTGTGACCTGGCCCTCTGTTTAAAAAGTTTGAGGACCCCTGCTTTAGTCTATCAGCCTCCAGTAGAAGAATACAATTTGAAGAGAACTCTCCTCTACTGGTCAAAGGACATTTAATCAACTACCAAGTTTGCAAACTTTGCGTTTTGTTTGTTTGTTTGTTATTTATCGTGTCATCAGCAACCAGACATTTGTATTACATTTTAACAAAAACAAACAAACAAACAAAACACAAAGTTTGCAAACTTGGCATTCTATTAAATGTCCTTTGACCAGTATCTGGCCACTTGGAGTGCCTCTGGTGTTGCCACAAGAAGGTCCTCCCTTGTGCATGTGGCAGGGCTCAGGTTGCATTGCAGCAGTCTTCTCCCCACTCGCATGTCGTGGATTCCACTTTGTGGCCCCATTTCTTGAGGTTGGCTCTGCATCTCGTGGTGCCAGAGCGCAGTCTGTTCAGCACCTTCCAAGTCACCCAGTCTTCTGTGTGCCCAGGGGGGAGTCTCTCATTTGGTATCAGCCATTGCTTGAGGTTCTGGGTTTGAGCCTGCCACTTTTGGTCTCTCACTTGCTGGGGTGTTCCAGTGAGTGTCTCTGTAGATCTCAGAAAACTATTTCTTGATTTAAGTCGTTGACGTGATGGCTGATACCCAAACAAGGGATGGGCTGGAGATGTCACTGCCTTGGTCCTTTCACTTTATTTGTTTGTTAAAAATGCAGTGCAACTGTTTGGTTTGCTCCTGACACGATAAATAAATAAATAAATCATTTCTTAAGTAACAAGTAGTGTAAGGATCAGGGCAGCAAGCAACAAGAGCTAAACTACCTGGATAGCATTGTGTAATTAGAGTGAAGTAACTGTTGGGATAATAAAGGAGTTGGAAGGTTGGAGTTTACTGAAGGTTGGATTTTCGAGAGGATTTTGTCTTGAGGAGACTGAAGGTTGGTGTATCAAGAATTGGACTACAAAACCATCCTGCTGCAAGTAAGAAGTTTCCAGTAATCTGGAAGTATCAGGAAAAGAAGACTGGAAAAGTATTTCAGTCTCCAGCCTCTGTAAATGGACTCTGTATGTGTGTGTGTGTGTGTGTGTATATATATATATATATATTTGAATAAAGTCTACTGCAAAGACCAAAGGTGTGAGTTTACTTCATGATCGGAGAGGGAAAGCTTCCGCAGCTGTTTGTGACTACACATATTAATCTTCATTGTGACAAGACCATACAGCAAACACTATTTTGTAAAACAGAAGTCCAGAAAAGGACAGCTTATGCAAAATATGACTGCTATGAAAGTAACAGGGCACCTGCCAAGGCACACAGCCAGCCGCCGGATTCAATGCAAGGCAGCACTCAAGTGTGTGGAGGAGGGCCTTGTTTCCCAACCTGGCCCATTTGCCTCTTAACACGTCAGTCCTCTTCCTTCTGCTTGAGCTCACATCCTGTAAAGCCCTCCCCAATATTCAAGAAAGAGGTGGGAGCTTATGGACAGATCAGGCTGAACCCGTATGACAGTATCTGTGCCTTCAGCTTGCATTAAAAAAAGAAAATATATAAGTCTTTGGCAAGACTATATTTTTGGAAGGAACAGATGTGTGTGAGAGAGGGAGACTTTGGGTTTATTATTATTGTAAGTGGGAACAGATTATTATTTTTTAAAATAACAAACAAACCTGGCCGACAAAGCAGCAGACAATACTTGGAATAAATAAATACACAAATAAAAACCCCAGAGAATGAATGATATAGGGCGGGCATGGGCAAACTTGGGCCCTCCAGGTGTTTTGGACTTCAACTCCCACAATTCCTAACAGCCTACCGGCTGTTAGGAATTGTGGGAGTTGAAGTCCAAAACACCTGGAGGGCCCAAGTTTGCCCATGTCTGATTTAGAGGGCTATGTTTCTGCATGAATAAGGCAATGCATTTTAAGCAAAACACAAGTCAACAACCAAAAGGGGAGCAGGCAATGGTGACAGGTACCTGGAATGAAAATGACATATTAAAGGAGGCAGCGAAGTGGATAACATGTCATCATCCCATTTTGAGAACAGAGAGACACATTCAAGAGGACAAAGAGACTTCTGACAGGGGAGAAACTCAGACAACAGCTGTATATTTGAAGTCGGGAAGAGAGAAAGCTCACCAGGGCATGAAGATAATTAAGAATTTTGCAAAAGAGATGTGTTCCCCACTTCTGTCCTTTTTAAAATCATAGAATGCTAAGAGTTGGAAGAGACTCCCAAAGGGCTTATTATTATTATTAACTTTATTTGTACCCCGCTAGCATCTCCCGAAGGACTCGATGCGGCTTACAAAGGCCAAGGCCTCAATACACAACATAACAATACAAAACCTAAAGCAAATTAAAAACAATTAAAGCAATATTAAACAACAAACAATAAACAATACACCAAGACACAATAAAACTGGGCCGGGCCAGAGTAATGGGTACAGAATTAAAAGTGCTGATGTGACAGGTGGTATATAAGGATTATAGGGTAAGTGCAGTGTGCGGCAATCTTAATCATTTCTTCCAGTCCAACCCACTTCCTTTCTGGGTTGTTGTAGGTTTTTCGGACTGTATGGCCATGTTCTAGAAGCATTCTCTCCTGACATTTTGTCTGCACAACCTCTGAGGATGCCTGCCACAGATGCAGGCGAAACGTCAGGAGAGAAATAATAATAATAATAATAATAATAATAATAATAATAATAATAATAATCTTTATTTATACCCCGCTATCACCTCCCTAAGGGACTCGGTGCAGCTTACATGAGGCCGAGCCCAAAGTACATCAACAGTAAAAGCAATAAGAAAGCAATCAATACAACAATTAAAATAAATCTCATAAACAAAAGTAAACAATAGACAGTAACAATAACAACAAGCATTGAAAACCTATGACTGGGCCAAATGTCATAATTAAACAATAATGCTGGACATTGACAAGGTAGGATATAACTGGGATAGTTTTCAGGTAGAGATGGGGCGCGCAGACAATCCTAAATCAGTGATAAAGTGCATTTAGGGGCATATGCTTCTAGAACATGGCCATACAACCCGAAAAACCTACAACAACCCAGTGATACCTGCCATGAAAGCCTTAGACAATACACTTCCTTTCTGCCAGGCAGGAAAACACAATCAAAGCTTTCTTAACAGATGGCCATCCAGCCTCTGCTTCAAACGTCCAGAATGCTGTTTTGTACAGCTGGCCTTCTGTATCTATAGGTTCTTTATCTACGTATTAAACTATCCATGGCTCGAAAACAGTTAAGCTGATGTCAAGCTCAACTAATTCTACAACTCAGGCAACTCTTTGGTGGGTTGTGAGTAAAACAAAGCAGGGAAGATTTTTTTTAACTCAAGGTATAGACCTCTCAGAGTGCATTAACAGTGCAGAATGAATGCTGTTCAATACCACTTTAAACTACTGTGACTCAGACTCAGTACTATGGAGTTTAGGAGACAGCAGCACTCTTTGGCAAAGAAGGCTAAAGAACTTGTAAAACTACAATGAAGTGGTATGCGACCACACCAATTCTACAGTGTAGGTGTACCATATTCCTTTGGAGCAGGCAAAAAAAAAAAATGACCTGGATGTGGATTTATCCTCTTTAAGGCCACATCTACACTGCCATACTTAACCCAATTTCTGAATTTATATTATGATCTGTTTTCATAAAATCATAGAGTTGGAAGTGATTTCATGGACCATTCAGTCCAACCCCTGCCAAGAAGCAGGAAAAATGCATTTAAAGCATCCCTGACAGATGGCCATCCAGCCTCTGATTAAAAGCCTCCAAATAAGGAGCCACACTCCTGGGGCAGAGAGTTCCACTGCTGAATGGCTTTCACAGCAGGAAGTTCTTCCTAATGTTCAGATGGAATCTCCTCTCTTGTAGTTTGAAGCCATGGTTCCATTGCGTCCTAGTCTCCAGGGAAGCAAAAAGGAAGCTTGCTCCCCCCTCCCTAGGACTTCCTGTCACGTATTTATCCATGGCTGTCATATTTCCTCTCAGCCTTCTCTTCTTCAGGCTAAACATGCCCAGCTCCTTAAGCCACTCCTCATAGGGCTTGTTCTCCAGATCCTTGATCATTTTAGTCGCCCTTTTCTGGACACATTCCCGCTTGTCAACATCTCCCTTCAATTGTGGCGCCCAGAATTGGACACAGTATTCCAGATGTGGTCTAAGCAAGGCATAATAGAGCATGGGAAGTATGACTTCCCTGGACCTAGGCACTATTTATTTATTTATTTAAAGCATTTATATTCCACCCTTCTCACCCCGAAGGGGACTCAGGACGAGCACAGCATATACACGGCAAACATTCACATAAACATTTTAAAAAATCAAAATATTAAAATACACCATTTAAAACCGTCTTAGTCATCCACGTCAAATCATTGGCTTCATCATTTTTCCCACTGCCGCTTCATTGCCCTGTCCCGAAAGCTTGGTCCCACAGCCACGTTTTTACCATCCTTGTAAAGGACAGGAGGGAGGGGGCCGACCTGATCTCACCAGGAAGGGAGTTCCATAGCCGGGGAGCAATCACCGAGAAGGCCCTGTCTCTCGTCCCCACCAATCGTGCCTGTGACAATGGTGGGACGGAAAGTAGGGCCTCCCCGGAGGATCTTAATCTCCGCAATGGTTCATAGACTCCTATTGATGCAGGCCAAAATCCCATTGGCTTTTTTTGCTGCTGCACCACATTGTTGACTCATGTTTAACTTGTTGTCCATGAGGACTCCAAGATCTTTTTCACACGTACTGCTCTTGAGCCAGGCATCGTCCCCCATTCTGTATCTTTGCATTTCATTTTTTTAAAGTGGAGTCTCTTGCATTTGTCCCTGTTGAACTTCATTTTGTTAATTTTAGTCCATCTCTAATCTATTGTCGAAGGCTTTCAAGGGCAGAATCACTGAGTTGTTGTAGGTTTTTTCAGGCTATATGGCCATGTTCTAGAGGCATTCTCTCCTGATGTTTCGCCTGCATCTATGGCAAGCATCCTCAGAGGGAGTGAAGTCCTCAGTACCTCTGAGGATGCTTGCCATAGATGCAGGTGAAACGTCAGGAAAGAGTGCCTCTAGAACATGGCCATATAGCCCAAAAAAACCCCAAAACAACACATCTCTAATCTGTTCTGATCGTTTTGAATTCTGCTTTTGTCTTGCGCCAGCAGGACTGAAGACCTGGTTCGAATCCGGGGAGAGTGGGGATGAGCTCCCTCTGTCCAGCTCCCTATGTGGAGCCTCCACCACACTCCGGGGCAGAGAGTTCCACTGCTAAACAGGTCTCATAGTTATAGTAGAGCCCCCGGTGGCGCAGTGGGTTAAACCCCTGTGCCGGCAGGACTGAAGACCGACAGGTCACAGGTTCGAATCCGGGGAGAGTGTGGACGAGCTCCCTCTATCAGCTCCAGCTCCCCATGCGGGGACATGAGAGAAGCCTTCCACAAGGATGATAAAACATCAAAACATCCACGCAATGTCCCCTGGGCAACATCCTTGCAGACGGCCAATTCTCTCACACCAGAAGCAACTTGCAGTTTCTCAAGTCGCTCCTGACAGGAAAAAAATCCGCATTATCTACTCTGAACTGGATTAGATGAGTCCATATTTCCATATAATCCACATTATATTTTCCGAATTGGATTATACGAGTCTACACTGCCAGTCCAAAGCAGATAATGTGGACTTTGGGTTGTTGTAGGTTTTTCCGGGCTATAAGGCCATGGTCCAGAGGCATTCTCTCCTGACGTTTCGCCTGCATCTATGGCAAGCATCCTCAGAGGTAGTGAGATCTGTTGGAACTAGGAAAATGGGTTTATATATTTGTGGAATGACCTGGGTGGGAGAAGGGATTCTTGTCTGAAGTAGTCCGCAGTGCCTTTCACTTCCACTTCTGCAGGAGTCTACCGTGTACCATGCAGCTGTGGACAGGTCTACATAGGGACCACCAAACAGCAGCATTGCCCAGACACAAATCAAGGAACATGAAAGGCACTGCAGACTACTTCAGCCAGAGAAGTCAGCCATAGCAGAGCGCCTGATGAACCAGCCTGGACACAGCATATTATTTGAGAACACAGAAATGCTGGACCACTCTCACAACCACCATGTCAGACTACACAGAGAAGCCATTGAAATCCACAAGCATGTGGACAATTTCAACAGAAAGGAGGAAACCATGAAAATGAACAAAATCTGGCTACCAGTATTAAAAACTCTGAAATTACAACAGCAAAACAACAGAGGGGAAACAATCAGGACATCTAATCACCTCTCAACAAAAGATTGCTCCAGGCACTGCCGGGCAATCAAATGCTAATCAAGGTGGTCAGTTGAAACATTCACACCTAGCTCCAGCAGACAAGAGTCCTTTGTCTCACCCTGGTCATTCCACAGATATATAAACCCTTTTTCCTAGTTCCAACAGACCTCACTACCTCTGAGGATGCTTGCCATAGATGCAGGCGAAACGTCAGGAGAGAATGCCTCCAGAACATGGCCATATAGCCCGAAAAAACCTACAACAACCCAATGTCCAGGAAGATGTAAATCTGCATTATCTATTCTGAACTAGATTAGATGAGTCCATATTTCCATATAATCCACATTATACTTTCTGAATCGGATTATACGAGTCTACACTGCCATATAATCCAGTCCAAAGCAGATAATGTGGTTGTTGTAGGTTTTTTCGGACTATATGGCTATGTTCTAGAGGCATTCTCTCCTGACGTCTCGCCTGCATCTATGGCGAAAATAATAATGATGATGAAAATGAAAATGAACAAAATCTGGCTACCAGTTTTAAAAAACTCTAAAATTACAACAGCACACCAACAGAGAGGAAACAAACAAGGACATCTAATCACCTCTCAACAAAAGATTGCTCCAGGCACTGCCAGGCAATCAATGCTAATCAAGGTGGTCAGTTGAAACATTCACACCTAGCTCCAGCAGACAAGAGTCCTTTGTCCACCCTGGTCATTCCACAGATATATAAACCCAATTTTCCTAGTTTCCAACAGACCTCACAACCTCTGAGGATGCCTGCCACAGATGCAGGGAAAACGTCAGGAGAGAATGCTTCTAGAACATGGCCATATAGCCCAAAAAAACCCACAAGAACCTAGTGATTCTAGCCATGAAAGCCTTCAACAATACACTAATCAAGGTGGTCAGTTGAAACATTCACACCTAACTCCAGCAGACAAGAGTCCTTTGTCCCACCCTGGTCATTCCACAGATATATAAACCCACTTTCTTAATTCCAACAGACCTCACTACCTCTGAGGATGCTTGCCATAGATGCAGGCGAAACGTTAGGAGAGAATGCCTCTAGAACATGGCCACACAGCCCAAAAAAACCTACAACAAACAGGATCATCTAATCACCTCTCAACCAAAGATTGCTCCAGGCACTGCCAGGCAATCAAATGCTAATCAAGGTGGTCAGTTGAAACATTCACACCTAGCTCCAGCAGACAAGAGTCCTTTGTCCCACCCTGGTCATTCCACAGATATATAAACCCACTTTCCTAGTTCCAACAGACCTCACTACCTCTGAGGATGCTTGCCATAGATGCAGGCGAAACGTCAGGAGAGAATGCCTCTAGAACATGGCCATATAGCCCGAAAAAACCTACAACAACCCAGCCAAATTACAGGAGAGGACCTGAGGCGCCGGGGTGTTGTTGTGGTTGTGGGGCCCACCTTGCCCTTGGCGCAGGAGACGGAGCGCAGGGCCCCGAAGAAGATGGGCAGGAGGGCCATGAGCACCAGGCTGGCGTAGGCCAGAGCCATGCCCTCCGGGGTGGCCGCCGGGCGGGCCTCCGCCGCCGAAGAGCCCTCCGCCGCCCCGCTCCCGTTCTGCGCCTCCATCAGCCAAGCCGCACGACGCCCGCTTCCGGCCCCGGCCTCAACCCAGGGACACGTTCCCTTCCCGGGACCGGAAGTGCGCCACGGCGCCTGCGCGGGGGAGCCCGCGGCCTGATTGGCTGGGCCGCCTGCTCCCAGGACACGCCCCTTGGAGACCGGCGCCTGGCTTCCGTTGCTAAGCGAGGCCTGCATCTTTAGCTCGAGTAGGAGGAGAGGTTCAGAAGAGGAGAGAAGATCATGAGCTGATCAAATACCACAATATAATACAAATTAGTCTATAACATAATGTGAAGGATATAATAACATAACAATAATGTAATAGCAAAGAGGAAACAACCAGGCACATCTTAACACATCTCAACCAAAGATCCCCCCCCCAGGCTACAGCCAAGCACATCTTAACACCTCTCAACCAAAGATCCCCCCAGGCTCAGCCAGGCACATCCAATCACTCTCAACAAAAGATTCCCCCCAGGCTCAGCCAGGCCTGAGGTTCAGAAGAGGAGATAAGATCATAAGGTGATCAAATATCACAATATAATGCAAATTAGTCTATAATATCATGTAAGGAATAAAACAATATAACAATAATGTAATAGCAGAGAGGAAACAACCAGGCACATCTTAACACCTCTCAACCAAAGATCCCCCCAGGCTCAGCCAGGCCTTTCAATGCTAATGAAGGTGGTCAGTTGAAACATTCACACCTAGCTCCAGCAGAGGAGAGCTCTTTATAAGATCATAAGGTGATCAGATATCATAATATAATGCAAATTAGTCTATAATATCATGTGAAGAATATAATAATATAACAATAATGTAATAATGTTGTGATATAATAATACAATATAATAATAATATAATATAATACAAATTACTATATACTATAATATAAATATTATAATAATATAACTATAATATAATATAATTCAAATTGGTATATAATATAATGTAAAGAATATAATAATATAGCAATAATGTAATAATGTGATAACATAATATAACAGTAATATCATAATATAATTCAAATTAGTATATAATATAATAAAAAGAATATAATAATATAGCAATAATATAATATATAATATCATACAATAATACAAATTAGTCTATAATGTAAAGAATATAATAATATAACAATAGTGTAATAATGTTGTGATATAATAATATAATATAATACAAATTAGTATATAATATAATATTAAGATTATAATAATATAACAATAATATAATAATGTGATAATATAATATAACAATATCATAATATAATTCACATTAGTATCTAATATAAAGAATATAGCAATAATATAATAATACAAATTAGTCTATAATATAATGTAACGAATATAATATAGCAATAATATAATAATTTTATACAAATTAGTCTATAATATAATGTAAAGAATATAATAATACAACAATAATGTTATAATATGTTGATATAAGAATATAATATAACAATTTATTTATTTGTCGTGTCAGATTAACCAGTCAATTATATTACATTTCTAACAATATAACAATAATATCATAATATAATACAAATTAGTATATAACATCATGTGAAGGATATAATAATATAACAATAATGTAATAATATTGTGATGTAATAATATAATATAACAATAATACCATAATTTAATACAAATTAGTCTATAATATAATATAATATAAAGAATATAACAACAATAGTATAATAATGTGATAATATAATATAGCAATAATATAATATAATACAAATTAGTATATAATATAATTATTTATTTATTTACTTTGCTTATATACCGCTGTATCTCAAGCCCGAAGGCGACTCACAGCGGTTCACAAACAGTAAAAACAGTAGAAACAGCAGTGGTTCCATGCAACATATAACAATTGACTTAACACATTATCCATAAATTACCAATAAGCAATTACAATGCACAATTATTACAAAAAACAACCGTACCCAATCTTCTCATCATCCAAGCGTAGTCCAGGTTCGTCGTCCATTGTTCCATTCCTATGTTCCATTACCAGATTGCACTAAATTACTCAAACGCCTGCACAAACATCCAGGTCTTCACCTTTTTGCGGAATACCATTAGAGATGGTGCTAGTCTAATGTCCGTAGGAAGGGCGTTCCACAGCCGAGGAGCCACCACCGAGAAGGCCCTATCTCTCGTTCCCGCCAGCCGAGCTTGAGAAGCAGGCGGGATCGAGAGCAGGGTCTCCCCGGAAGATCTCAAAGTCCTGGTGGGTTCATAGGCAGAGATGCGGTCAGATAGGTAGCTTGGGCCGGAACTGTTTAGGGCTTTAAAGGCCAACGCCAGCACTTTGAATTCAGCCCGGTAGCAGATCGGTAGCCAGTGGAGTTGGCGCAACAGGGGGTTGTATGCTCCCTGCGCTCCGCTCCTGTTAAAATCATGGCTGCCGAGCGTTGGACTAGTTGGAGCTTCCGAGCTGTCTTCAAAGGCAACCCCACGTAGAGAGCGTTGCAGTAGTCGAAACGGGATGTAACCAGAGCGTGGACTACCGTGGCCAAGTCAGACTTCCCAAGGTACGGGCGCAGCTGGCGCACAAGCTTTAGCTGTGCAAATGCTCCCCTGGTCACCGCCGAAACCTGGGGTTCCAGGCTCAGCGATGAGTCCAGGGTCACACCCAAGCTGCGAACCTGCGTCTTCAGGGGGAGTGCGCCCTCCAGCACAGGGTGTAACCCTATACCCTGTTCAGCCTTACAACTGACCAGGAGAGGAACTCTGTCTTGTCTGGATTCAATTTCAATTTATTCACCCTCATCCAGACCATCACAGCTGCCAAGCACCAGTTCAGGACCTGGACACCCTCCTTAGTAGCAGGTGGAAAGGCGTGATAGAGTTGAACATCATCTGCGTACAGATGACACCGTACCCCGAAACTCCGGATGATCTCCCCCAGCGGCTTCATGTAGATGTTAAACAACATGGGAGACAATATTGAGCCCTGAGGAACCCCACAAGACAATGGTTGTGGGGTTGAACAGGTGTCCCCCAACAACACCTTCTGAGATCGACCCTCCAGGAATGACCGGAGCCACTGCAAAACAGTACCTCCAAGACCCATCCCCGCGAGGCGTCCCAGAAGGATACCGTGGTCGACGGTATCGAAGGCCGCTGAGAGGTCCAGCAGCACCAACAGGGACACACTCCCCCTGTCGAGCTCCCGGCGCAGATCATTCACTAAGGCGACCAAGGCTGTCTCGGTACCATGTCCCGGCCTATAGCAATAATATAATATAATACAAATTAGTCTATAATATAATGTAAAGAATGTAATAATATAGCAATAATATACTATTGTAATGATGGAGCCCCCGGTGGCACAGTGGGTTAAACCCCTGTGCCGGCAGGACTGAAGACCGACAGGTTGCAGTTTCGAATCCGGGGAGAGACAGATGAGCTCCCTCTATCAGCTCCAGCTCCTCATGCAGGAACATGAGAGAAGCCTCCCACAATGATAAAAACATCAAATCATCCTGGCATCCCCTGGGCAACGTCCTTGCAGACGGCCAATTCTCACACCAGAAGCGACTTGCAGTTTCTCAAGTCGCTCCTGACACGACAAAAAAGAAGCAAATATTGTAATGTAATAATATAAAAATCATACCATACCTGATAGATGTGGGTGAAATGTCAGGAAAGAATGCTTGTGGAACATGGCCATACAGCCTGAAAAACTCACAGCAATCCAATATAACAATAATAATAATAATAATATATAAAGAATAAAATATAATATTATAACGTAATATAATAATATCACAATACTAATTTAAATTAGTATATTATATAAAAATATAATATAACTATCAGAATATATTGTAAAGATTGTAATACTAATATATGTATTGTTTATTACAATGAAAAGCTTTGGAAGCTTTTAAACAGAGGCTGGATGGCCATCTGTCAGGGGTGATTTCAATGCAATATTCCTACTTCTTGGCAGGGGGTTGGACTGGATGGCCCATGAGGTCTCTTCCAACGCTTTGATTCTATGATTCTATTATAATTATTAATATATGTATTCTTGCACCAGCTCCACTGGCTGCCAATATGCTACCGGGCTCAATTCAAAGTGCTGGTTTTGGCCTTTAAAGCCCTAAACGGTTCTGGCCCAACTTATCTATCCGAACGTATCTCAGCCTATCAGCCCACCAGGACCCTAAGATCTTCTGGAGAGTCCCTGCTCTCTATCCCACCGGCTTCACAAGTGCGGCTGGCGGGAACGAGAGACAGGGCCTTTTCTGTGGTGGCCCCTCGGCTTTGGAACACCCTCCCTATAGAGATACGATCAGCCTCTTCGCTGATGGTGTTTCGGAAGAGATTAAAAACATGGTTGTGTAAACAAGCATTCGGTTAGTTTGTTATCACCGAATTTTATGGACTAAGGACTGGTTAATTATGGATGACGAATTCTGGACTGTGATTTTAGTGACGAGATACATGGTATTATTATTGGTGGCCCAATAATTTGTATTGTCTATGTGTTGTTGTTTTAAATTGTATATTGTTTTTAATTGTTGTAAACCGCAATGAGTCGCCGACTTAGGCTGAGATATTAGCGGTATACAAGTGTATTAAATAAAATAAATTAAATAAACTCCTAGAGTCAACAGTGTGAAGCGTTAGCCAACACAATTCTAGGCTGCATCAAGAGAAATCATAGTCGCACTCTATTCTGTTTTGGTCAGACCCCAGATAGAATAATCCTGTGTCCATTTTTGGACACCAATATTCCAATAGGACCAATTGGAAGGTATCCTGAGAAGATGACCAAATGGTCGAAGGTTTGGAAACCATGAATCTCTATGAGAAATAATTTCATGTTTAAATATTAGAAAAGATGTTACTTTTTAGGAGGAGGAGGAGGGCATTGGAAGCCATGAATTCAAATTGCAGGAAAAGAGATTCCTCTGATTAATTATGAAGAACCTCCTGACACCAAGAGCTGTTCAACAGCTCAAGAAGAACTTACACCGATAGATCCAACAATATCGTGGTTCCAATATCACCAAATAAAAGAAAACTTCAAAACTGACAAAATAAAAGGCTTCGAGGAGAA